GATTACAAGATTACAAGGATTACAAGATTACAAGGATTACAAGATTACAAGGATTACAAGATTACAGCAATTACAAGATTACAAGATTACAAGGATTACAAGATTACAACAATTACAAGATTACAAGGATTACAAGATTACAGCAATTACAAGATTACAAGATTACAAGATTACAAGGATTACAAGATTACAACAATTACAAGATTACAGCGATTACAAGATTACAAGGATTTGTAATCTTGTAATCCATGTAATCTTGTAATTGCTGTAATCTTGTAATTGCTGTAATCTTGTAATCCATGTAATCTTGTAATCCATGTAATCTTGTAATTGTTGTAATCTTGTAATTGCTGTAATTTTGTAATTGCTGTAATCTTGTAATCCATGTAATCTTGTAATTGCTGTAATCTTGTAATCGTTGTAATCTTGTAATTGTTGTAATCTTGTAATTGTTGTAATCTTGTAATTGTTGTAATCTTGTAATTGTTGTAATCTTGTAATTGCTGTAATCATGTAATTGTTGTAATCTTGTAATTGTTGTAATCTTGTAATTGTTGTAATCTTGTAATTGTTGTAATCTTGTAATCCATGTAATCTTGTAATTGTTGTAATCTTGTAATTGTAATGTAATCTTGTAATCCATGTAATCTTGTAATCCATGTAATCTTGTAATTGCTGTAATCTTGTAATTGCTGTAATCTTGTAATCTGTAATCTTGTAATGTAATCTTGTAATCCATGTAATCTTGTAATTCTGTAATCTTGTAATTGCTGTAATCTTGTAATCCATGTAATCTTGTAATTCTTGTTATCTTATAATTCTTGTGATCTTGTGATTTTTGTAATCTTGTAATTCCTGTAATCTTGTAATTCTGTAATATTGTAATCATTGTAATCTTGTAATTGCTGTAATATTGTAATTGTTGTAATCTTGTAATTCTTGTAATCTTGTAATTGTTGTAATCTTGTAATTGCTGTAATATTGTAATTGTTGTAATCTTGTAATTCTTGTAATCTTGTAATTCTGTAATATTGTAATTGTTGTAATCTTGTAATTCTTGTAATTTTTGTAATCTTGGAATTCTTGTAATTTTGTAATTCTTGTAATCTTGTAATTCTTCTAACTGTTTTATTCTTGTAACTGTTATAGTCTTGTAATCTTTGCAATTGTTGTAATTCTTGTAATCTTGTAATTTTTGTAATCTTGGAATTCTTGTAATTTTGTAATTCTTGTAATCTTGTAATTCTTCTAACTGTTTTATTCTTGTAACTGTTATAGTCTTGTAATCTTTTTTAAATAAATAATAAAACAATTATTGAATTCGGTTTTCGCACAATATGAAGAATTATCAGCCTTCGGCTTCGGTTGATAACGGCAAACTCGGGCTTTATAATTCTTCATATCGTGCTCAACCTCATTCAATCATTGCTAAATGACGTGACTGAAGCTAATTGATTGATTACGAATCCCGAAATACGGTATGATTTTTAGTTTACGCACAGATAGGTGACGACACAGATAGTGACGACTCGGAGTGACGAATCATCAGAGAGCGACTGCACTAAAATCGAAAAATCAAAGAGCGGTGAAATCGAAGTAGGTGATAAAATTGCATGAGGGCAACAAAAGAGAACATGAGGGCAACAAAACAATGACCAGAGCAAAGATAATGAAAAGTGAGATGAAAAGCATCAAAAGACGACTTTCCCAAAACTAATAAAACAAAGGGAAATGAAATAGGTGAGAAAAGTGATGGCAACAAAATTATGGGAAGCACTGGAGACAATGAAGATAGAAATAAGAAAAGAAAAACGGAAGTAGAAAAACTGAAAGGATCTCTATTCTGCAAAGGGTATGCGCAGAAAGTAGAATCTGACAAAGAGGGTAGGCGCAAAAAGTAGAATATGACATATTATAGAATATGATTGTTAGTTATCACTTGCTTGAGTTAGATATATATTACTTATGTCAGGCATTAGACACATTCACAAATACAGAACTAAACAAACTAAAAGATTCTGTATCATGCAAAGTATACTGTTTACCTTAAGAAGTTATGTTTCAGTTAAATATGGTTCAATTTGTTATATTTGCTTTGGCAATAAAGTTGCTTTGCTCAATGACGTATGCCTTCATGCCAGGCATGAGATATATTCACAAATAGAACATAGAAGTCACTTTATTTAACAATTATTCGCCGAAGGCGAGGTGATTATCGGTGAATAAAAACCGAGACGAAGTCGAGGTTTTTATTCACGATAATCACCGAGCCTGAGGTGAATAATTGTTTTAGTATAATTTCATAGGTGATTATATGGAAAAAAATAAAAAAATACACATTTCTTCGTCATTTAATTGACAAAAAGGCTTCGGCCGCCATTTTGAAAATCGCTTAGGTGATTATCGCGTAATAATCACCTCAACGGCAACCAATCAGCGTGGAGAATTTTCAATAATCACCTATGTAATTATACTAATAATTGTTATTCTAATCTAGTGAGTATTTTTAGCTAGGTATTTTTTCGTAGGTATATATATAGACAATAACGAACAAGACCATATGTTGGCACCCATTTTAAATTTTTAAGTACTATGATGGCAAAAATGCAAAATTTCAAGTTCATTTTCAACAGAAATATAAACTATATACTATTAAAAGTATAAAAAGTATATATAAGGCATTTAAACGAGTTATTTATATGCTAAAAAAATTAATATGATTTTCGTATAGCCAATTTTGTGCTTTTAATGCTCAAAACCGAAGAAAATGCGCTAAAATAATCTGCTATACAGTTGCTATCTTGCTTATTTAACTTCTTATTACCGTATTTCCCTTATTTAGTCCACAGCCTGTGTTATAGCCCTCTCAAGTCACATACAGATGAGATGCTCATGCGCTTTATCTAAAACTCAATTATTCGCCTCAGGCTCAGCGATTATGCTGAATATTCACCTTAACTTACTTCGTCCCGTTGTATATTCACCTACGTCACTGAGCCTGAGGCGAATAATGGTTAAGTAACAACCTTGTTGATATTATCAGACGTGTTGCAAGGTTGCTCCAACAAGTTCGATACAGTCATGACATAACAATACTCTTACAACCTTTGTGTCATATTCTTGTTATACAGTAGCATGATTGTATCAGACTTGTTAGAACAACCTTGTAACACGTCTGATAATAAATAGTCTGATAATACCATCAAGCTTGTTACAAGTTGTTAACAGCTTGTTCCAAACTTGTTACAACAACTAGGAACAAGCAGTGCGAACACAACTTGTGGACAGCTTGGTAATAGATTTGTGACAACTTGTTTGCGGACCTGTAACAACTTGTGCGTTTTTACGTGCCCTAGATTAATTAACTAATTTTAAATAGATTTCAATAGATATTGACGCTTATACAATTTACTAACACAAACATTTTAATCAGTTATCAAGAATTGCGTTTCTTTTCTTGTAAGCAAAAATTTCAACATCAAACTAATATTATGGTTGCTAAAATCATGTCTTTGAGAAGGATAAATCCAGCGGCCTCTATTCAGTCACACGCTCCTTAAATAAGCACCGATTGGGTGCTAAAATGTATTATATAAATATCCTGTCCTAGAATTGTTGCGAAAGCAATCCACAAGACAGGGTGGATCAAGCATGATCCGCTTTGCTTCACTGCTGCAAAGTCTTTCTCTCTTCTGCCCTCTGGCCAGGGCTAAGGGGGTGCACCCCCGCCCTTCCCCCAGTAAATCCATCCCTGCCTCAAGATGGACATTATTCATTTACAATATTCATTATTCGTTTACAATACCTTGTTTTTTCAACGTTGTGGGTTTTTTTCTCAAATCACTAGGACTTAAACCCAATATCAAATTAAACCCCAAATTTCGTTTTTCTTTTAAAACATTGCTATGAAAAGGATTTCGCAAGTTAAAGTATAAAAATTTTCTTCCATTACAAGATTACAATAATTAGAACGTCACAAATATAAGGCTTACAATATTACAGAAATTACAAGAATTACAAGCAGCTGGCAAGAATTTCAAGAATTACAAAATTACAAGACTACAACAGTTACAAGAATACAACAGTTAGAAGAAATACAAGTTTACAAGGATTACAGCAATTACAAGATTACAGCAATTACAATATTACAGCAATTACAAGATTACACAATTACAAGATTACAGCAATTACAAGATTACAGCAATTACAAGATTACAACAATTACAAGATTACAGCAATTACAAGATTACAGCAATTACAAGATTACAGCAATTACAAGATTACAACAATTACAAGATTACAGCAATTACAAGATTACAGCAATTACAAGATTACAGCAATTACAAGATTACAGCAATTACAAGATTACAGCAATTACAAGATTACACAATTACAAGATTACAGCAATTACAAGATTACAACAATTACACAATTACAAGATTACAAATTACACAATTACAAGATTACAGCAATTACAGCAATTACAAGATTACAGCAATTACAAGATTACAGCAATTACAAAATTACAAGGATTACAAGATTACAAGGATTACAAGATTACAGCAATTACAGCAATTACAAAATTACAGATTACAAGATTACAAGGATTACAAGATTACAAGAATTACAAGATTACAGCAATTACAAGATTACAAGATTACAAGATTACAAGATTACAATTACAAGATTACAGAATTACAAGATTACAGCAATTACAAGATTACAACGATTACAAGATTACAAGGATTACAAGATTACAGCAATTACAAGATTACAGCAATTACAAGATTACAATTACAAGATTACAAGGATTACAAGATTACAATTACAAGATTACAGCAATTACAAGATTACAATTACAAGATTACAACAATTACAAGATTACAATTACAAGATTACAGATTACAAGATTACAATTACAATTACAAGATTACAGGATTACAAGATTACAAGGATTACAAGATTACAGCAATTACAAGATTACAAGGATTACAAGATTACAAGGATTACAAGATTACAAGGATTACAAGATTACAGCAATTACAAGATTACAAGGATTACAAGATTACAAGGATTACAAGATTACAAGATTACAACGATTACAAGATTACAACAATTACAAGATTACAAGGATTACAAGATTACAAGGATTACAAGATTACAACAATTACAAGATTACAGCGATTACAAGATTACAGCAATTACAAGATTACAGGATTACAAGATTACAAGGATTACAAGATTACAGCAATTACAAGATTACAGCAATTACAAGATTACAGCAATTACAAGATTACAGCAATTACAAGATTACAACATTACAAGATTACAAGATTACAAGATTACAATTACAAGATTACAATTACAAGATTACACAATTACAAGATTACAGATTACAAGATTACAATTACAAGATTACAGCAATTACAAGATTACAGCAATTACAAGATTACAGCAATTACAAGATTACAAGGATTACAAGATTACAGCAATTACAAGATTACAGCAATTACAAGATTACAGCAATTACAAGATTACAGCAATTACAAAATTACAACAATTGCAAGATTACAGCAATTACAAGATTACAGCAATTACAAGATTACAAGGATTACAAGATTACAACAATTACAAGATTACAAGGATTACAAGATTACAGCAATTACAAGATTACAGCAATTACAAGATTACAGCAATTACAAGATTACAAAGATTACAAGATTACAAGGATTACAAGATTACAAAGATTACAAGATTACAAAGATTACAAGATTACAGCAATTACAAGATTACAGCAATTACAAGATTACAAGCAATTACAAGATTACAGCAATTACAAGATTACAGCAATTACAAGATTACAAAGATTACAAGATTACAAGGATTACAAAGATTAGAAAATTAGAAGGATTAGAAGAATGACAAGATTACAAGGATTACAAGATTACAGGCAATTACAAGATTACAAAAGATTACAAGATTACAAGGATTACAAGATTACAAGGATTACAAGATTACAAAATTAGAAGGATTAGAAGAATGACAAGATTACAAGGATTACAAGATTACAAGGCTAAGGATAATAAAGGATAGAATAGGTTTCAGCGAGACATGGACCCGTTACCGCAATTACAGCAATTACAAGATTACAGCAATTACAAGATTACAGCAATTACAAGATTACAAAGATTACAAGATTACAAGGATTACAAAGATTAGAAAATTAGAAGGATTAGAAGAATGACAAGATTACAAGGATTACAAGATTACAAGGCTAAGGATAATAAAGGATAGAATAGGTTTCAGCGA